CTGCTCTCCAGGCTGCTCTTCGGGCTAGGGCAAGGCATACCTACACGCACCCATGCAGCGCGACGCCGACTTTGACGGGCAGCGCAGGCAAGGAGGCGAGAGAAGGCGGCGCGAGGCGCGCTCTGCTGCCCTCGCCAACAATTCATCCGGATGGGCGATAAGCGAGACATCCTTTTGCACCAACCACCGCCACCCCTCGGCGCCAGGCAATCAACCGCCTCGCCTTTTCCGCGGCGTTGTGCTGGCATTTAGTTGCGCCAGACCTGGCGTTCGAACACGCTGTCTCCCAGACGCAGTGTGTATCGGATCTCAGTGCGATTCTTAAAATAAGGCCTTGGTGCTTGCATCGTATGATCCTGCCAAGTCAGATAGGCTCGAGTAAATCGCGGATGCGGAAAGGGCGCGGGAAGGTGGGGAGAAAGAAAAGGCGGGCGAACGGTTCGTGGCCAGCCAGCATGAATGCAGAAACGCAGGCTCAAAAGACTCGGAAGCAGCTCGGCCTGCGTTCTTCTTCACAAACTGTCGGCTGGGCATCATTCAGTGGCCTGGGATCCCGCAAGTCTTGAAGCGGCACTCCTCCCTACACGCAAGCCGACTATCACTGCCGTATGATAAGCACCGTCGTGAGCGTGGACTAGCTCGGAATCGCCGAGGATTAGACAGCTGACGTACGATTCGCGCTCGCCAGCAAGCATGTCAGAGTTGCTTCGCGTATTCTGCAGGAGCCGGCTTGCAGACATGCCCAGCCACGCCGCGTCCGTCGCTAATCTCGCACTCATCTGTGAATGTTTCGGCAGGCTCCGTTGGGAAGGTGGGCAAAAGACCTACAGTCTAAGAGTGTGCGACGAGGGCCACATGATGCTGCGATCCGCCTTGAAGCGCTGCGCGGGGTTCCGAAAGTATCCGTGAATATCCCGACGACCGAAAAAAAAAGTAAGCGCGGGGGAGTTTCCGATCATTGGCCGAAAGCGAAAGTACGCACGATCGAATGTTTTCCTCGCGACCTGCTTCTCTTCGAGCTTTGACCAGCATCCATCACGAGATGTCGATGAAGCTTGCAGGAATCCGTCGGATGTCGCTTCTTGCTCGCGCATGTTTCGGTGTTGTCTGTGTGGACACGGTGAGACAAATGAGACTCCGCTACGGGGCATGAACGTTACTCCACCAGAGCGTCCGAGACACAATGCGACTCTCAACAAGAGGCCACCGGAGAGCTTCCGAAGGAGGAGCGAGCAACTCGGTCACGCCCAAACAGCCAGGCGCGTTTTCGCTCTATTGGAAGACTGTAACTCATGCACAAGTTCGGCAGCAGCCGCGCATTGCTTCAGGGCATCGCGCCTGGTGTCGATCATTGGCTTCGGCGCAGGTCGACAAGCGAGCCAAGCACATGCTCTCACGCTACTGCAGCTCGCCAGCTCGCCAGCTCGCAAGACACTTTCGGGTGTGCATCCTTCCGCACGGCGCTGTACACTGCAGCCTCGCATGGCGCTCCACTCATGCTCATCGTGCCCTAAATTGTGCTTTGATCTTCCAGCTGCTGCTGCTGCTGCGCGCTCTGGAAGGGCCGAATGAAGCTCCGCCTTGTTTGATCACGCGTTTTATTCGGTTCGCGTGGGCATCAGTCGAGGGACCGTGTTTGAGGGAACCCCAGTCGAAACTCCGACCAGAACTGGGTCGCCTTGACGGGCTCGACGTCAGACCGCGGCGGGTTTCAGCACCGAACCGGCGTGAGACCACACAGTGTCTCTCCCCCAGTCACTGAGGGTCCGGCGCGTCTGGCTTCGAATCCGGCTTTGTGGACTGCAGCCGCCATGTTTGCTTCCGTCGGGATCAGCTGCAGGTGCATCATGCGGGCCGCTGCCCCCTCCCCTCCCTCCCTTGCTTCCTTGGCCGATCTCGATACACACTTCGTTTTGCTGCTCCTGTATTTCAAGCCGCACGAGCTGTTGTCTTGGGCTAGATGACCTGTTGCCCGCCTCGACCAAGTTCCTCTCCGCCAGAAGCGAGCATGAGCGTGCGAGAGAGAGATGGCGGGCGCATGCATGGACGCCAATGCTCATGCCCTGGCATGCCGGGTGGCTTTTGACCGGTTCGGAGATCTGCTCGGCTCGCCTGAGCTTGAACCTTGGCATCGCATCATCCGCTTCGCTTGGGCAACGCCTCCGTTCCTGCTGTTCCTGAAAGGCGTTCTTCGCATCGCTGTGCCTGGATCTGTCTCGCGCTTTGCCTTGCCTTCCAGAACGGCTCTTCTTTCTTGACATCATCTTACTTGCTCGTCACGGGCGCAGCGGTCACAGTCCCTCCTCTTCGTTGACGGCTTGCAAGGCGCACGAGACGACCCTGTTGGGTCGACAAACAAAGGATTGCGAGTGATTTCTTCAACCCTGCCCATTTGCATTTTCATGCGTTCCGTTTAGAGGTTTGCAGGACTCGACACGCAACCATGCCAGCCGAAGCATCGGAAGCACAAGTTCCTTCTCTGAGTCCAGTCGCCAGGTGGTGAGGAAGCGTCATCCTCCGTCTTTGGCTCGGAACTCGGACCACGGAGTTGACCTCGCGTGATGCACTGGCACATAGCCGAGCCCTCGAAGAGTCGGGGTGGCGTTGCCGGGCAGAATCCAACCAACGATGCAGCCACCTGACAGCAGCGCCCCCTCACTGCCGCTCCACACGATGCTTGTGCCTGCCAAGACCCCGGGCACGTTGCTTGCATCTCGCCGACGCCACGGATGGACCCTAACGAAACTCGAACTGGCTTTCGACGTGCGCGAGACGATGAAGACCTGTGCCCAAAAAGATGCCCGCTGCGGCACATGCACGATATCGGTGAATTCAGCCCCGATATCGACTGCCTGTACAGAACATCGGGTACGGGGGCCAATGCTCTTGCGTGCTAGCACGCAAAAGTCGAGTCCATGGTCAGCGAGGCTGACGTCCAAACCACATCTGAACTCAGATCATTCAGGGCGAGGAGAAGACCGGTTCAACCACAACATCACCGGCCACCGATTAGGCACACCTGGGTTGGCCGAACCGTGGTCCCTGCTGGCCATTGTAGGTGCTTGAGCGGATGCCCCCTGATCTGCCGAAGCATCTCAATCTCTCTAGGATGTATCGTTTCGAGGAGAAAGCAAGATCGCTCAGGGGCGCACAGCAACTTGGTACGGACGACCAGCGTCCGATGAAATGGTCTAGTTTTAGCGGTGGGAGGGGAGACCGCGTGCTCGACTCCCCGCTCGCGTGTCGGTGAACGTCAGCCGATGTTCTGGTCTCGAAGCTAAAAAAAAAAACAAGCGCTCCCCGAGGGTCTCGTCGTTTTCGCCGGATCGATCCCTTCCTCACGTCGAGACGCTGCACGTGCCTCTCGAGGTGGACTGCTCCCGCAAATACTGTGCGGGATGCATCGATGTACTATAATGCATGAAAAAACGGGGAGACGGTTGCTGCCACGATCCTCGCGAGGCAGTCGCGGGTAGTGAAAGCCACGTTGCCGGCTAGCAGCTGAGGATGGCGGTGACGCTGGATCTCGAGTGGATAGCGAGGAAGCCCAAGAGATTTTGCCTGACGCGGTCGGATCCGATAGACTACTCGCTAAACCGGCGGGGGGTCCGCGATGTTGCCTGCTGGAGGGCAGAAGGGCGCGGATGCAACGGGGGCGGAGCAGGCAGCTCGGTTGCGGGGGGAAAGAGAGAGAGAGAGTTAAGAGAGAGAGAGAGAGAGAGAGAGAGAG